GCCATTTTACACGATTCTCCGCCCATGAGTATGTTGTGGTGACCGGGCTTGCTTTTGGATCGTCTGCGTTTGACCCAAACTCAGCGCCTCCTCCTCCTCCATCGTCGATTTTCAATCAAAAATATAATGGCAAGCAGATCACTATGCAGAAGTTGCGTGAAGACTTCGTGGCGGGGCAGTTCAATGACGACAAGAAGGTGATAGTGAGAGTGGCGAAGATGCTAATGCTGATGTACTTTATCATTCCTCACGACGACAGCAAGCCTCGGTATATTGATAACTGTTGGTGGGCTTTGCTTGAGGAAGACCAGATGTGGGAGAAATTCCCATGGGGGAGTTACTCGTTTCAATACCTGTTCGACTACTTGCAGTCGGCCAACTACAATAATATGAAATATCATATCTACGGATTTCACTGGGCGTTTCTAGTATGGTGCTAGGAGGCAATCCCTGAATTAGGTCGTACATGTGGAACATGTACCTCGGAGAGACGTCCACCACGGCTGGTTCACTGGGAACTGAGGAGGGACAAACATGTATTATTTGATCCTAAACATTTTTATTGGAATCGTTAGCAAGTGATATCCGAAATTCTTTTTTAAGTCTTAACGATTTTTGATGATTTCTTTATCTTTATTTTTATGTTCTATCTTTTAAAATTTAGTTGGAGGTGCATGAGATGCTGGAGCTGTATGAGGAGGAGAATGGCGTGTTGGACCTCTCGAATTTGAATGTTGAGGGGCCTCGATTTTTGCGACGGGCTAACTCGGCCAATCGCCGTATGCAACACTCGGCACAGCCGTCCACGTTGGCTCTGCAATCTCAAATTGCAGGCGACGCTGTGCACCCGAGGAAGCGGGCCCGGACTGAGGGTGAAGATAGTCCGATGCACCGGGAGGAGGGGAGGCCAACAGATGGGTCGGCCTTTATTGAGGATATCCGGGCGTGCGTACGGGCTGAAATGGCTAATGTTATAGCCAGAATATCCTCTGAGGTGTCGACAATCATTCTACGAGAGGTGCCGACTATTATTCTACAGGAGTTGGCCAATCTGTCGCACCCCCATCTGAGACAGCCTCCTCCCGAGTCCGAGCTAGCCGTCAACTCGACGAGACAACCATCACCCCCTCCCGTAAGAGACAGCGTTCCCCCACTCCCACCTCCGAGACAGCCGTCAATCCCACCTCCAGCAATCCCCTCACCGAGACAGTCGTCGATCCCACCTCCAACAATCCCCTCACCAAGACAGTCATCACTCCCACCTCCGAGACAATCGTCAATCCCACCTCCAACAATCCCCTCACCGAGACAGTCGTCGATCCCACCTCCAACAATCCCCTCACCGAGACAGTCATCACTCCCACCTACAAGATAGTCGTGCTGCAGTCCACTTCTTCTCCGCAGTCCTCGACAAAGACTACCAGGACGTGCTACTGTAAGTCCATATCGTCCCGACGAGAACAGACGGTATGCCAAAAGTGAGCGCAGTTTGACCGGTTCCTCAAATCCAATAAGCCAGAAATGTAAGTACATCCAAAAGATCTTTTATTGTTTATATTTAAAAAAAAAATAACTTTCTATTATATTATTTAATAGGAGGAATGTCGGCGTTAAATATGAGGTAGCCCAGGACTGGTTTAAGGAGTTGATTGATCCGGCTGAAATGATGTCGGAGGAGGTATGTATATGTTTGTCTTGTAATATCTTAACGTATAAAAATGAATTGATGGATGATGTTTGGTTTGATTTTATAAAACAGCACGTGAATGCATACTTGGGGATTATGCAAAGCAATCCAGAATTTTTGGAGTTGGAGCCACTGGACAAGATGTTGGGCACTTATACCATCGTGCCGACTACGTTTTTTGTGAGATTATTTTAATCCTTTTTCTTTTCCTTGTCATTCCATTTTTATTAATAATTATATTAATTACATTATTATTTATTATTTTATTGTATTTTATATAGTGGATTCTGGGGGAATTGGAGAAGGAGGTCCATGCTAAAAAGGAGCTAGTGGACTCGGACAACCTCCAATCTTTGATTCGCTATGCGAATGAGGGGGTCAGCGATTGGGGGAATCGGTATACTTGGGGGCAGATTGAATCTGTAAGTTTTCAATAATTCCGAATCAATTAACATTGCAATCTTTCCTAAAAAATTAGTGAATTTCTCACAACTCAATGCAACAGATTATTGGAGTAGCGAATTTGTCGGAGCACTACGTAACTTTCCAGATCCTTTTACGCAAGGGGACGATACGTGTGTTTGACCCCCTACGGCATATGTATCTAGAAAAGGAGGACGAGCACATTCTCGAATCCTGCGTCAAAGCACTCCAAAAAATCAAAAATCTAATTCCACCAATTGCGACGTATGCGGAAGTAGAAGAGGTGAGCGAAAAGTTCGAATTGAAATTCATGGACACCAAAGATACTATCTTGCAAGATGATAAAATTTCTTGTGGTGTATGTGTTGTGGAGATGGTACGAACATTGCTATCGGGGAAGAAGCCCTTACACAAGTCTATCAAGCAGTGGGCTGGGAAAAGGAGGCGCGAAATTGCTCGAAAAATTTTTTAGTTTAGTACAGAACCAGAGACAATTACCGACCCAGTTCTTTAATGATTCATGTAATACATTTTTTTGTTTTTTTTGTTTTTTTGTATTTTATTATATTTTTGTTGTTTGTTGTATGTATATGGTATTTCTCATACCTGAAAGAAAGAAATTAAACTAAATTAAGCGATGAAAGAAATAAAAAAGAAATAACAAATAAACTAACTTTCGAGTAGAAGTGCGAAGGGGGTATGCGAGCAATATGAGGCAATTCGCATACCCCCTCGCATAACTGAAATAACTGAAAGAAATAAAAATGAAATAAAAAATAAACTTTCGAGTAGAAGTGCGAAAGGGGTATGCAAGCAATATTCGGCAATTAGCATGCATAACTTAAAGATGAAAGAAATAAAAAAGAAATAGAAAATACACTTTCGAGTAGAAGTGCGAAGGGGGTATGCGAGCAATATGTGGAAATTCGCATACCCCCTCGAAATAACTGAAAGAAATAAAAAACTTTCGAGTAGAAGTGCGAAGGGGGTATGCGAGCAATATGCGGCAATTCGCATACCCCCTCGCATAACTGAAATAACTGAAAGAAATAAAAAACTTTAGAGTAGAAGTGCGAAGGGGGTATGCGAGCAATATGCCGCAGTTCGCATACCCCATCGCATAACTGAAAGATCAAAGAAAGAAAAAAAAAATATTCTACGAAAAAAAAACTTATAATGCACCAACTCTGCGAATAATATGCGACGTATGCCGCAGAATAATTTTTTCGACTAATAGTCGCAGATTCATTCGCCTAACAAGAATAATTATTTAATGGGCGACGGACCGCGATTGACCGCATCGAATCTCCGCATACTCGTCGCAGAACAGCCGCATACTTTAACTCATAATTTTCTCGCTCATTCTCATACCGGTCGTCTATGTATTGCATAGTTCATCGCATATGTCTTCGTACTTTTTGGGGTGAAAAACTTAGCTTTTTATTGGGCGGTGTGAAAAACTTAGCAGGACTTCAAAACGGGGTGAAAATAGCCATTTTCACATTAAAGCATATGGACAGGTTTTCAGCTAGGGTAGGACAATGCAATTTATGGCTGTCAGTACTCAGAGAAATACTGAAGGACAGATTGGCATGGGCTGCATTGTTTCTGAAGGCACAAAGTTAATTAAAACCTGGGTACATGTTGAAGATAACTCATCTAGTGATGTTGAAGCCAAACTAAAGGGAATTAGATGGGGAATGGAACTTGGGTTGCTGAATGGTATGTCAGACTTTGTGTGCTGTATTAAGGATCCCGACAAGTTGTGCGTGTTTTTCACAAGCCGAGAGTTTGGAAGATTTTAAATCTATTGTGTTGGATATTAAACTCTTAGCTTATCCACTGATGCGGTGCTCCTTCATGCCCGGTGCTGATCTATGTTATTCTAGCGATAGATTGGCCATTTTGGCTTTGCAGGGAGATGTCTAAGAACACTCCTGTTTTGAGTCACTCTGATCTTTGTGGATTAGTGTAGGCTCTATATGCATCTAGTCGGATGGTCGGCATTGTAAAACTCTTTATTGTGTTATAAATTTCCATTATTGNTACGAAAAAGCCCAACCCAATTTCATATTTAACCAAAAAAAAAAAAAAAAAAAAAAAAAAAGAAGAAGAATAAAAAAATACTTCTCTTAATCCAGTTTGCTATAAACTTACGAATAAATGACGCCCTTATCTGTTCATGCTGCAATCACATTTCTGATCTAATGGGCTCGGCCCGTAAAACACTACACTGAACCCATTAAAATATGGTCTCTTGCAGCGGAATTCAACAAACTTACCGGAAAAATAAAAGAGAGCAAAATTGTACACAACTCTTTTTGAAAAATGGCATCCCATAAGACTACTTTTATTGGTGACCCCAAAGAGTGGGTCACCGATTAAAAACTCAAAAAAAAAAATAAAAAAATAAAAAAGAAAAGCAATAGGTTGTGCAACCGAGGTCACAATGTGACCCAAGGTTGCAACCGGTTGCTTTCTAAAAGTGGACACTTATCCCTCTTTTATTGGTCAAATATATTTTTTTTGTTTTAAAAAAATAAAAAATAAATACTAAAATTTATATTTTTTTATTCTCTACAAATAGAGACCACACTTGATATATTTTGGAACACAATTGTATTTTTTAGATAAATTAAAATAAAATAAATATTTAAGTTGAGTTGGGTTGGGGATAAAGATAAATTTGATTGTAAGGTTGAGTTGTATAGGTGGAAGAGAGAGAAATAATTTTTAATTATTAGGTTGAGTTGGGTTGGGTTGGATTGGGGATAGAGATAGTCTAAAAACTTAGTACATAATCTCACTTTGAGATGTCAAGAACTTTGTAACTATTCTTCAAAATCAGATTTCATACACGTGTACTCAGCCTCGTTTTCCCCACGTTAAAATGACGCCCGAAAAAATCAGTTCCTTTCTCAATAAATGCACCAAGACGAAAGCTTTCCGACTTGGGCTTTCACTCCATGCTGCTATAATCAAGACGGGAAATCAATCAGACATTTTTATGGGCAATCATGTTCTGAATTTTTATGCAAAATGCGGGCCAATTAATAGTGCCTGCAAGATGTTTGATGAAATGCCTCACAGAAATCTGGTCACATGGTCTGCTATGATATCGGGATATGATCAGTCGAACAAGCCGGATTCAGCACTCATACTTTTCGGAAGAATGCAGAAACATTTTAAGCCAAATGAATTTGTTTTTGCTAGCGCTTTCAGTTCTTGCTCGAGTCTGAAGGACTTGGGCCTCGGGCGGCAAATTCATGCTCAAGCATTGAAGACGAGTTACGTTTCGGTTGATTTTGTCCTTAATTCACTAATCTTGATGCAGATTAAATGCGGCATGCTCAGTGATGCCTTGTCTGCTTTAACTCTTTGTAAGCCTGAATCATTGAGTTTGGTTTCTTATAATATTGCAATTACTGGGCTGGTGGAGAATGACCAGCACGCGAAAGGGATTGAGATTTTCGTACTTATGTGTCGACGGGGTCTGGTTCCTGACCAATTTACATTCGGGGGCCTATTCGGTGATGGCGGGCCCGCATTTGATTTTTCAGTAGTTACACAACTGCACTGTCAAATGGCAAAGCTCGGGCTCGACCGCTGTGCCTTTTCTGGAAACGTTTTGATAAAACTGTACTCAAAATTTAATTTACTAAAGGAATCAGAGAACGCATTCAGGTCGATAGAAAAACGGGATGCCATCTCTTGGAACACAGCTATTACGGCTTTTTGTCAATTTGACGAACACTCAAAGGCTTTACATGTTTTTAAAGAGATGGTCATGGAGAATAGTGTGAGCCCAGATAAATTCACTTTTGCCAGTGTACTTTCGGCATCTGCAAGCCTGGCTTCCTTGAGAAACGGGAAGGAGATTCATGCTCGTTTAATCCGGACAAGGCCCGATTATGACATCGTCGTCCAAAACGGGCTTATCAACATGTACGCCAAAAGTGGGTCCCTTAGTTCCGCAAACGCCATTTTCGAGCGAATGGGGGCCCGTAATCTCGTCTCGTGGAACACCATCATTTTTGCGTATGCGAATCACGGGCTTGCAGAGAATGCAATCGAGCTTTTCCGGAAGATGACTAAAATCATGCTGCCAGATTCTGTCACGTTTATCGGGCTTCTCACAGCCTGCAATCATTCGGGCCTTGTGGACGTGGGCCGGTCAGTCTTCGACACAATGAACAAAGTTTACGGCATAAATCCTACAGTCGAGCATTTGTGCTGCCTTGTAGATTTACTAGGACGGGCTGGGAGTGTTAGCGAGGCCCGGAAATACATGCATAAGTATTGTAAAAGTGACGATGCTGTTGTTTTGGGATCCTTACTTTCTGCATGCCGACTGCATGGAGGGCTCATTGATGGCGAGCATATTGCTGAAAGACTTTTGGAGCTTGGCCCAGTTACGACTTCGCCTTATGCGCTGTTATCGAATCTTTATGCATCGAGCGAGAAGTGGGATTGCGTGTTTGGGGCAAGAAAAATGTTGCGGTTTAGCGGGTTGAAAAAGGAGGCTGGTTACAGTGTTGTTGAAGTTAAGGGTTCGGTGGAGAAGTTTACCGTTGGGGATTTCTTCGCATTCGAGAATGGATGAGGAGATGGTAAATTTGCTTAGGAATTTGATTGGGTGAAAGATGAAGACATTTTGTGTTAATGATTCTGAGATGGTGCAGATAGATTTTTCTGGTGTTAATGATTCTGTGTTAATGATTCTCTTTGAGAGAGAGAGAGAGAAACAAATTGCATCATATCTGAGGATTAAGTTTTAACTATATATATACATCTCCATGGTTTTTTCTTTACTAGTGAAAGATAACTCTAAATTTCTCTGTTTTGAAAATAGGTTAGTGTACTAATAGTTGATTTCCTGAAATTCTACAGCTTTTTATACCATATTCCATTTGCTTGTTCCATTTGGCATAAGTTTGTTATAACTTCAAATCACAGTTTCTTGAAAATGGTATATGATATTTGACATTTACTAACCAAGCATTATCATTTGGAGAATTTTTGGACATCCTCTCTGTTTAGAACACCTTTTATTTATTTTTTATTTTATTTTTTCTTGGGTTGGAGCGATCGAATCATTACTCATTTATGATTGCTTTGCTTGTTTATCAATCTAAGCACTTAAAGGGTGGTGATACATTTGAAATATGTATATAATGATGCTCACAATTCAACTAAAATAGGTCCAAACTAAGAAAGACATAAGAGCATCCACAATGATTTGGGCTCAATCCCAAAAAATTATATGTCACCTAAAAAATAGACACGGCAAAAATCCAATTTTAGTCCGCTAATTTGTCTATTGTCCACTTTTGGTACACTATCTTTCCCCTCATAAAAAAATGGTCAATTATGTTACATTTTTCATTAGTTTTAGTACGCTACTCCAGTTGGCAGGATTACAAGATGACGTGGACCGGGATTGGAACTACGTTGAGGGATAAAATATTGACGTGGTAGGATAAAAACCTGATTTGGCATCTCGTAATCTCGGGGCACGGGATTAGTGTACTAAAAACTGATGAAAAGTGTTGATATGGCTCATATATTGACAAAGGAAGGAGGGCAAGCTGATGCCTGCGACCGAGCGGAGCGACCAGGCATCAACCTGCCCCATGTTGGGTTAGGTCGATTAGTTAGGCCGGGGGTGCGGGGGCTCCGCCCCCGCGGTGCGGTATGGGGTATTTAAGTAAATTTATACCTTGTAGAGTTATGATATAAATACATGGTGTATTGATGTATTTAGATTATCGTGAATAAGAAAAAAGATCACTCCCCCGCCGTGGACGTAGGCACATTGCCGAACCACGTAAATCTTGTGTTATTTACTTTCTCGTCTTTAATTCGTATTGTCGTCGCTTCACAACAAAAAGTGTAACATAATGGACCATTTTTTATGAGGGGAAAGATAGTGTACCAAAAGAGAACAATGGACAAGTTAGCGGACTAAAATTGAATTTTTGCCAAATAAACACAGTCTTAAAAAATATATTCTCCAATGCAAATAAAAGTAGACTAGGTCCTGCTGATGTGACACCCAGAAAAAGAGACTTTGTCTACCCGTAAGTCTATTTTAGACCCAAGTAGAGAGCTAGTCTATTTGCATTGGAGTGGATTTTTTTAATTTTACATAGTTTTATCCATGTCATTCAAGACTTGGATTTATTTACATGCCACATAGGCAAAACTAAACTCAATGCATTACATATGCTCTAAATATCAGTTCCTATAAACAAAATACAGTGTTGCACTTCCTATATTTAACGTATTTGAAATCTCATGTCCCTTTAGAACATCTCCAATGTTATAACTTTGAAAGACAATAATTTTTAACACATGTCAATCAATGATTGTAATGTTAACCCATGTAGGAATAATGTTAAAAGAGTAAAAATTTGAATCAAATTAGTATCTCCAATGCATCAATTTGATAAGAAGTTATATGTACAGGTGGACCAATTAAAATAATCATTAATACAAGAACAATAAAAAATTAAATCAAATATAAAGTGAATTGATTAGTCATCATGTTTAACATGGTGTTAGATATTAGAAAGTGTGTTCAACATTGTCAACATTAAATGCTATCCACCTCATCATGAAAGAGTTTATGACAAGATGCATTGGAGAATAAATTTGTAACAAACTTTCAAAAGTTGATGATATGGATGAATTTTTATAATGTCAAAAGTCACATTGGAGATGCTCTTACATGTTTACCATATCTTTTCAAAATTTTGTCAAAATAAAACATTCAAAATAAAATCATACATAAATTATTTATAGACAAGTCATGAATATAATTTAGAAATCAATAAAAAAAAATAAACACAAATCAACAATTTATAAACAACAAAAATTTGAAGATTTATAATTAAAAAATAAAACTTGGTACATCTTAAAATAAAAAGAGAATTGTAGTTGAACGAGCCTAATTTTCTCAAATTTCGTTAGGTTACAGGATTGATCTTGCTGGGTAAGGATGGGGGACTGGGTTGTGTGGCTTGAGAGAGTGGGTGGTGAGGGCTAGATTAATGTGGAATACCTCCTGTGAAAATATATATATATTAAAATAATGTTTTTTAAAACAAATTGAGGTACAAATTCGTGCGTGCATCGCACAGGATGCGAACTAATTGTTGTCGTATGACCATTAGATAATAATTAGTTAAATCTTTTTTGGTCTTAAATAAAATTAATTTTTCCATTAATTTGAGCGATTAAAAAATTAATCATGCGAGTTCATTTTATTTCACTAAGATAAGAAACCTCAACATATAATTGTGTGATGGAGAGATGTTATGCGGTGATGTCCACAGTCCACTTTATAACCTAATTGTGACTCGAGTTAAATAATAAATTTGACATAGTTGTGAATTTGATTGTAATGGAAAACCGACAACTGATTTGAGACCACACATAATTCCAAATATGACAATTTAGGTCCACAAAAATTTGGACAGTATCAAAATGCCCCCATGTCATGAGCCGCCCTTTTGTTATTTTATTATTACTAGTACAATATCCGTGTATTACACGGGTGTTGAATTAGAAAGCTTTTGTAGAAAATATTAAACTTTTTATTTTTTTTAAAAAACTAAAATAATTTAATTTTATATAAAACGTTACTTTGGATTTTAATTGAATTGCTAAATTTTAATTAATCATAATATTTAAACACCCGTACATTAAATGAAAATGTCAACCGTGTTGAATTTTTTACTTATACCATATAAAAATATTGATATTATTTGCTATTACATAGGTACAAAAATATATATCTTAATAAATAGAAATAATATGGTGATATATATATTCATAAGTGTAGAATATGTTTATTTAATATTAAGCAAAATAGATTAATTTTTTTACTTAATTAGATGTCTATTACATCATGTGTCGTATCAATCGTACTTCACAGTAATTTTTAACTTTATATGTAATATTTTTATTACATTGACAACATACCAATTAGATTTGAAATAAATATCATTTTCAAACGAATACATACCAATTTCTATTAGTTTGTAATATAATTTATAGTTCTATTTGATATAATTTAATTTAGTTTGATAAATAAATTTAAATTTAATTTATAAAAATATATATTACTGTTTTGTATTTTATATATATATAAATAGTAAAATACAAACGGACTTCATAATATCAATTCAAATGCAATACACTAATTAATATTTTTTTTCTTCACAATATTAACCTTATTTAACGGATGTTATGGGAAACGATGGAGATGTGATATGAAGAGACACTTTGTATTAGATGGAGGGTTAAAAATGGAAAAATATGAACAAAGTATCTAAAACGATATTTATTTTATCAATGATCAATTAAGCCAAAGTGACAAATAATAAAAATAGGAGGGAGTATATATTATTATATATTTTAGTATGACACATGTTACTTGTGCGACTTATATGTGTTATATTATAATAAATTTTCTACCTTATAACATATAACTAAAACATAAATATATTAATTGATAAATAATTTATTTTCTAATTAATTTTAATAAATGATTTTATTATTATTATAAAGATAAATATAATTTATTTATTTTATAGATACAATATGGATGTCAAATCGAAGCTCATCAAAAGATAATTAATTTGATTTATTATATATGTAAAACCAATAAGAAATACAAAAGTTTTCAACTTTTAAAATTATTTGCAATTCAATGGTTATAATAGGAAATGATACTAAAATACAATTAATACAAATATTAATTTATACCCAAACTATTTTTCATGTTTCTTTAGCGGATGTTATTTCTTCAATTGTTTGAAAACAGTTATCATGGTAAATTCAATTTTTGTAAGAAGTTCTTTATTGGGGAATGTATTGGGAAAGCAATAGGATTAAGCAATTGACTATTATAATATTAATTAAGTTGAAGCAATCCGATTAATACACGACAAAGAATCTGATTAATAGAATATACGGCAAAGAATCCTATCCTATTCATATAAATTGGGGGAAAAATAATATATTATAATATTAATTAAGTTGCCGATTAATACACGGCAAACAATTGGGGGAAAAGTAATATATTATAATATTAATTAAGCAATAGGATTAAGCAATCAAAATTGGGAAAGCAATAGGACACGGCCAAGAATCTAATTCATATAAGAAAACACAGCAAAATTAAGCAAAAGAATATAATTGTATTAATTTTTATCCGAACCAAAAACCGAAGCATGTAATATTGCCAAGTAAGCTTCCGAAGCATGCGAGCCAGCCATTTAGGCTCAGCACGTTTTCAAATTATATTAAGGGGGGATTATTAGTGCACATCGTGTTTCGTCCTCAATGGCCATGTAACTTATTTTTCGATTCAATTCTTGCAAATAATCCTCATGTTAACACAGCTTGGCGGTAAAACGCTTTACCTAAAACCCATAAGTTATGAGTTCGAGTCATCGAGGAGGGGAAGTGAGAATACTATTGATCTTTTTTTGGAAAGAAAAAAAAAATTCTCATGTTTTGTGTTTTATGTATGTATGTATTGCTATAGGATTATGTGGTCCAATCACGCGGCCCTTNAAAAGATAGGAATACTCG